TGATTGTTTCAAACAATATATGGCTTTTTTCAGTTTCCATACTTTCCCTAGTATTTGATATTCTTCTAGAAGTTCCAGGTAGGTTTTACAGTCAATATCGTCAGAAAGGAATGTACTTTTTATATCAAGTTGATGGAATTTATATCCACATTATACTGATATGCTTAGAAGTATTCAGAGTAATTTGAGGCGAGCTATTAGAGAGTATACTTTTTCAAAGTCTTCCCCTATTATCTGTTGAATCCTCTTGTACTGTATCTTACTTTCTATTTCTCAATAGTTCTGTCTTTTCTGACCTTAGCCTTATAGACCTATCATCCTGATATCATTCGTCTGCTATTAGGTTTCTCAACTTCTTTCCCGACTCCACCTTTCTTCAGATCTTCTATCTTCTCATCCATATCCTTTTTCCATTTTTCTTTTTCTGGTGAACTCATCACCTATTTGTATATATTAGGATCAGGTATGTGGTACATCAATCCCCTGAACTTGTCTGCTTCTTGCATTTCCTTTTTGAGATGTTCCTATTCTTTCATCAGTCTTTTATATTGATCTTGGACAACTTGTAGTTCATTATCATCAAGGTTGCTAATTTCAAGTTCTTTTTCAGTTTCTTGAACTACTTTTTTAAACTTATCATTTCTATCGCTTAGCTCTTACAGTCTTTGCTGTGTATTGGCTTTGGCTTTCTCAGTATTTTTGCGAATGCTTGATGATCATCTTGACTTTAACAGTTGCTGTAGTGTTTTAGATAGTCTCTCTTGTTTGGGTAATTGTTGAAATTTGCCAGGCAAGATTGTGCTTAGTGAGGCAGGTTCAGGGTTTTGAGGTGTATTTTTGGGTATGTATTCGTTCTCTTATTTTGTTGTTTTAGACACTGGTAGTTGGTGATATTTGAATAATACCTTTTTCATATTGGTGAATTTTACATCTCTTACTTTGGTTAAAGTATGCAATTTTGGTATGTAGATTCGATATATTATTGAATTAGAAGTATATCCAACCAGGTAACCATCTTCAGATATTTGGTCAAATTTTCTGTATTTTTCAGCTGGAATGTATACCAAGATACTCGTGAACAATGGATGTAAGTGACTACTCTTAGGTTTCATTCCATATAGTCACTCGAAAGGTGTTGTTTTTATTTTTGAATACCAGCATCTGTTGTATAGGTAGAGAGCAGTGGAGTAGGCCCCCCCCCATAAAGACTTTCGATCTCCTGGCATCATGCACTATACTATTGTCGCAAGGATTCAGTTTATCCTTTCTGTAACTCCAGTTGATTCAGGGTTATAAGCGGGAGGGGTGGTATGAATGACTTCTTTTGATTCGATAAATTGAGTAACATTTTGGTTGACATATTTGGTGTCTTGTTCACTATATAGCCATTTGATCCTTTTACTGAATTGTGTATTTATTAGTTCCCAAAAGATCTGTATTACTGTAGCTGCCCCATCCCTAGACTTCAGTAAGTATATACAATAGTACCTAGTATAATCATTGACAAATATCATGTAGTACTTGTTCTTGCCAAGAGTAGGTACTGACATATGACAACTCAAATTGGAATGCACTTTTTCAAATGGTAATTTTGTACTTATTATGATAGTCTTTCATAAGCTATGAGTTGATTTATACTTATTGCAGGTGTCGTAATCAAAGTATTGAGGGGTGTTAATAGGAGAGGTATTCTTGTAATAATCCTTAATCACATTCAGATATCCAAGGGCCTAATGCCTTTCTTTATAAGAAGAAATCATAATGCTTTTTTTTTCATCCTTATATACCATAGTCCTTCTTTCTTATCTGCTACCATGAATATTTTTTCTTCTTTCTCAAACAATCTTTTCCTCTTTTCTCTCACTTTCCTTACTCCAACATTATCCATTTGAGATTTTGATATTAATGAGTATTGAAAAGAGGGAATATACAGTGTCACTTTAAGAATGACTGTGTGTTGACGTCTATCTAACAGGCGCACATTGATTCTTGCATATCTGGATGCAGTTACCTGATGAATTCTTCCGTTGACAGTTACTATAGTTTCGGAGGAAGAGGTGAGATTAAGGAAATCACCTGAGCTTGGCGAAAGATGACTTGTAGCACCTAAGTCACATAACCAATTCGTAGAGTTTTTACCCTCTACTCTCTCTGAATTTAATGACATATTTCAAGCCATCAATACCATAATGTTCACGTCAGTTGTTGCTGCCATTTGAGTTTGTTTTTCCTTTTTTTTTCTCTTCTTTTCCTTTTATAGACTTCGACATTTCGCGATCGTATAGTTTTTGCTTATTTTCCCTCTCTTTGCACAATAGCTGCAATTCTTTTTCTCATCTCTAAGTATTCTAAGTACCTTTTCTTCTTCTTTTCCTTCCAACTTCTCGGCAGCCCTTCTGATAAAGTAGTCTCTAACATCCATATAGTGAATAGTTTTTCATGCTGATAACATGTTACATATGTCCGGATGTAGATGGTTTATGGATAACACGAACACCGTTTCTTTCACTGACTTGGATTGGGTCCACATCCTCATTGCAGTATGGAATTCTTTCTTGTTGCCTTTATTGTTAGTATCATTAATATATCGTTGAGCTAATCGGTTCCAAGTGATTTCAAACTTGGTTGTATAGTCTGGGATTGGTTGTCCAAAGATGAGTTTGATCTTTCAGATAGCTTCAAGTAAGATTACGTAGGTTGCAAGGGTTTCTTTGTCAAATCTATCTTTAAAGGCTTGCCAAATGCCTTTGGAGGTTGCATTGGCAGAGATGTCGGCATGGAAGGTAGTGTCAATGGCTTGGTATAAAAAGAACTTTGCTCTTTTGTCTTTCCTTGTCCATTCCTTAACTTGTATAGTATAAGTTGTTGTGCTACCTTTGGAAGGGGATTCTGGTTTCACAGATTTGCCTGATACTCTATCCTACAAATCCAGGACTTCAAAAGCTATCTCTCAGGTGTCAGTCTAGGTTTGATAATTTTCTTGACTATAGAGTTTAGAGTAGTCTTTAACAGAAATGCTAAAGCCAGCTTTTGTATCGTTTTCAGATAATATCATGATATAGACCGTCTAGTACTTTTGTTTTATGTCTGGAAGTCATTTGTATCCATTGATATCCTCAAGATAACTTAATGCGTAACCTCAGATATTTTCATAGTAATATTCGTAGCATACAGGATATAAGTTATTGAAGTCTAGCGGTCGGATGTAATTGCAGCCTTTATAATGTTGAATGCCGTATTTAGAGGGGTGTGGTATGCACTTATGTGCATTATAAAAGAAATCTTTCGCCATAATGTAATAGAGGATTAGTTGAGGGTGGCAGATGGTAGTGCATTTGCTTAAAGTACTTCAGAGGTCTTCTGGTTTATGGTGGGAATACACAAGTATCTCACAAACCTGGACTCATAACCTGAAAATATTTGTATCTATTGCACTAACTGTTATGATAATGAAGTAACAATAATAAACACAATTAAATCTGAAGACTTAAAGATTAATCCAAGCTTACGTGCTCTTTCTAAGAACAGGGCTAAACCTGCCCTTTATATACACCTTTATCATTACACAAGCACTGCCTCACACCAAGGAAATCTCTAGAAGATACTAGAATACAATAGCATATATATTCAGTCATGTGGCTGTATCACATAACCAACACAGCCCCATTACCAGATAGTAAAGGAATAACGTAATTTCCAACAATACTTCTAGCGAGTCGCTCTGGTACCTAAACCCTTCTCATTTCTCGCACCCATCTTACTACCGGTAGGTTATCCCGTTACCTTACCATACCGTATCCGCCAGCATGGCATACACGGGAACCATCTCCAGCCAGGCTCCAACGGCTCACCTACAACAGTATATAGCCGGTAAAATGGAGGTATAAATCTACTGGATATCAGATGAACATAAGTACGTAGGCAGCAGTAAATTCACAGAACATGCAGTGACTGGGGTAGATCATATTTGTTATTTCGAAGCGGTAACTCGCAGTCACACAGTTGCGTTGCTGTGGCGTCATGTGACATATTAGTCATCCACGTTCCACAATTGATTGGATAATATTGTCTCACAACAAGCCCCATCTCCCCGCTTTTCCCCACCGCGCTCACACAAAAGTTTATAAACTGCCCTGATAACCCTCCAAATTATTGTACCATTCCCACATCTAACCTACACTTTTAACGGAATATCATAGCCCAGACTACACACGCCAGGATCGGCGACGGCAGTGCCGGTTGCGGCAACATAATAGGTAGTTCACCAACATGGGTCACAAGTTTGACGAGGATGCACAGATTTTGCGCTAGCCCTCTCCACTAGAGCTAAATACCAGATATCAGGGCGTGCGCAGCGACCGGTTCGACGGTGTTGGGATTGGCTTTTGGAAACAAGCGTTTCGGGAGTGGAGAGCGGGTGAGAATGCAGCTGATAAAGCTGTCTTGTTTTGCAGCGGGAATCCAGGAGTGGGCAAGACATATCTGAGGTAGGTGGCAGGATTATTTGAAGGAAGTAAAAGTTGCTGACCATTGGAACTACTAGTTCTCTAGTGATCGACAGCCTGTGCGATCAGGCAAGGAAGGGAGATATCACCCCCGCATGTTTGTGCAGTGCTGCGACCGCCTCGCTCGGCAAGAGCAGACAATCACCAACGTGATGGGAGCTATCCTCAAACATCAGCTGCGTCCGGATTTGATGGGAGCGTTGGGGATCAACCCTAACGGGCATGATCTTTGGAATTATCTTGAGATGCGGTTAACCGCACACCTTGATGTCTGTTATTTGGCTCTAGTGGAGTGAGCCAGCGCATAATCTGTGCATCCTCGTCGGACTTATAGGTGTTGGAGCTACCTATTACGTTACCGGAGTGGGCGTTGCCGTCACCGATCTTGACGTGTGTATTCTGGGCCATGGTACTCTGTCAAAGTGTAGGTTGAATGTAGGACTGGTACAATAATTTGTAGGGGTTTCGGGAAGATTATCAACTTCTTGTGGGCGTAGCTTGTCGGGATGGGGAGATGTGGCTTGTTGTGTGACATTAAGTATTTATTGGAGGAGTTGATAGGCATGCGGAACTGGGATCGGAAGTGTGTGGACTAGGAGATATATGCTGTGGATTGTGGTATTGCTTGCGTGTTGGGGGATATGTGTATTGAGGATTACGTCCTCACTGAAGTACTCGGGTTGTTTGGGGAATGTGGTTTACCTCTTACCTTTCTCTGTCTAATACTCTGTTTCCGTTTTTTCTTTGGCTTGTTCTTTCTTCTCTTTCTGATCGCATACGAATATCATCGTTTTCATCTCATCAAGCCCAGCCATCACGGTGTAGATTTCAACAATATTCAATCAATTGGGGAGAGTAGATGACTAAAATGTGACATATCCCAAGACCTCTACAGCTGAGTGACCACAGGTTAGCATTGTGGTGTGCTTCGATATCAGGAGGAATCTCCCGAGTTTTTTATCCTAAATCTCGTAACGCATTGAGATCTTGTGGTAAGCTGTAGACTGGGCTGGTGGAGTTGTACTGTTTGGACTAACAGACGCCTCGGATTTACTCCCGTCATTATATATTTTTTTGAGTTTACCATTGTCTACTTATGCTCTTATGTTCCTTCTGATAGCTGGATGGTTTTACATTTCTAGATTGTCGATGGTATACACTATTTGTGAGCCGTTGGAGTCTTAATGGTGATGGTTTCTGAGTTGTATGCCTGATTTGGGGGTATGGTATAGGGATGGGGTTATAGAGTAGGTGCGAGAAGCAAGAAGGGCTTGGGTACCAAAGCGACCTGGCGGAAGTGTTTGTGATCTGAGGCTTCGCAATTGCGCAAGAGGGCCCTGGCGGTAGGGGGGATAATGGGATTTCGGGGTCGGTTCGGATTCTTCTGAAAGAGCGGTAGATCCGAGAACTATGTTTGAGCCGCTATCAGGTGCTCCTGATCTTGACATGATACTAGGCTCAGTCGCCCCAGAATGTGCTTGCACTATCGGCCTTAGCGGTTGCGGGAGCCTTCGGGTTTTCTGGGAACTTTCGTGGTTGCGAAAGACTTATCACACTTGTTGGTCATCTGTGGGTTTTTGGATTTTTCCTTTTTCTCTTTTAGACTGTTGGCTCGTCTTAGGCCCTGGTCTACGTTTGTTCACATAGGATGTGTATACAGTCGCTCGGCAGAATTGTTCGTGAAAACATGTCTCACATTCCTAAGCTGCTTCGAGAAAATGTAACTTTGCTTCTCTTCTCAATGCTACGGCTCCTCTCTTAGGCATTCGTCTTTGTACTTTATATGGGAAATAGGGAACTCCGGATATGAGTTGCTAGTTCTTGATACTTCTCGGTGATGTCAATGTATGGAGCGCCAATGATTTACAATACCTTCAACCCCAAGATCTGAGCAATTAGTGTTGTTTCCATTAATTTCTATTTTTGTTATTTACTTTACCGTTCTAATTCGTTCAAATTAGTTCCTTACTCTTTGTTCTCACAAGTTGACCGTTGACAACTCTCGAGCCACAAATCCCACCATCCTCCCCCCTACCTGGGCCAATAGCGTAATCATAAGGGTCTTAGATCACAAAAAAACCATTCTCGAGCCACTGTAGTATCCAAATCGTTCACGTTTTTCCCACCTACTTTGCCATTCCGGCAACCCAACATACCTTATCATACCACCCGGCCCTGCATATACCGGTGGTCCAGAAGCCGTCTCTATTTTTTAGGCTCCGACAGCTCACCTGCAACAGTAATATAGCCGGGAAGCTGGAGATATTAATATAGGGTCCACCAGATATCAGTAGGAACATTAGCGCAGAGACAACGGTAGACTCATAAAACATAGTGACTGGAGTAAATCTGAGGCATCTGGTATTCCGAAACAGTATCACAATCCCACCCAATCCAGTCCTCTGTTCTGTTCGCTACAAAATCTCAATGACCTCCTATCTAACCTCCTCTAAGAGATTTACAATAGAAAACTTGGAGGTTCCTGATATTGAAACACATTATCATACAGTATTAACTTAACCTACAGTTACCCGGCAATGCTTGCAGTGTTTCTAATATTAGTCATGCGCCGCCCCAAAATGATTGGGCATTTCGTTAGGTGTCACACGACAAGCCTCATCACTCGCTTTCTTCAGCTGTGCTCACAGAATTTTATCAACTTCTCCACTACCCCTATAAAATATTTTTATACCATTTCCACATTCAACCTACACTTTTGACGGAATACCATGGCCCAGACTACACATATCAATATCGGCGACAACAATGCCAACTGCTGCAACATAACGGGCAGCTTCAACATCTATAGGTCCGACCAGGATGTCCAGATTATGCGTTGGCTCTCTCCACTAGAGCCAAATAACCGACACCGAGACGTGCGCAATGAGCGGTTCGACGGTGTGGGGGATTGGCTATTGGAAACAAGCGAGTTTCGGGAGTGGAGGGGCAGTGAGGATGGAGTTGATGGGGCTGTCTTGTTTTGCAGCGGGAATCCCGGAGTGGGCAAGACGTATCTGAGGTAAGTAGCGGGATTCTCTAAAAAAGCGAAATTGCTGACGGTCGGAAATACTAGCTCGCTGGTGATTGATAGTCTATGCGATCAGGCAAAGAAGCGGGATATCATCGTTGCATGCTTCTACTACGACTTCCTTGCTCAGCAAGAGCAGACAGTCATCAATATGATGGGAGCTATTTTGAAGCAGCTAGTGGGTAGAGGTGATATCCCAAAACATCTACGTGAGGCGTTTCAAGAAGGGAAAGAAGAGATTGGTGGCAGAGGGCTGCGACTTCCGGACCTGATGAAATTGTTGGGGATCACTATTGCTTCGCTACCCCAAGTTTTCATCTGCATTGATGCGCTTGACGAATGCTTACCGAAGCATCTACCGGAGCTTCTTAAGTCGCTGAGAGTTATTGTTCGGGAGTTCCCTAGGACGCGAATATTCCTCACCGGCAGGCCTCATGTCAAGGAAGATGTTCAGATATATTTCACCAAGGCGGTTGTGATACCCATCAGTCCTAACACAGATGACATTAGGAACTATCTACAGATGAGGTTGGATGGGGACGCCGATCCAGAGGCGATGAATGATGATCTGCGGGCGGATATTATTGGAGCTATCCTGGAAAAGATATCTGATATGTAGGAGCATCTATCATTCCCCTTCTATCATTGATCAATACTCACCCAATGATTGTGTGTGCAGATTCCTTCTTGTTTCGCTAAACGTTGACGCTATTTTGGGGGAGGTAACAATCCGTCAAAGAAGGAAGAAACTTGAAGAAATGACAAAGGGCAATGGATTGAGTGATGCCTACACGGCAACCCTAGCCCGACTGAAGGCCCAGAAGGGAAATAAGTCAATACTCGGAATGAAGGTCCTAATGTGGGTGTCTCATTCCGAACGGCCGTTACGGGCCAGGGAGCTCTGTCATGCCTTGGGGGTGGAGGTGGGATCTACGGATCTGGATGTCGAAAACGTTCCTGCATTACGGACGCTCCTCGCATCTTGTCTGGGTCTTGTCACGGTCGAGGCGTCTTCGTCCACTATCCGACTGGTGCACTTTACTTTGCAAGAGCATCTCTCAAGCGATCCAACCCTATTCCACAACCCCCACTCGACAATGGCGGAGGTTTGCTTGTCATACCTCAATTTTGAATGTGTCCGGAGTCTCTCGCCAAGACTTCGATCGGCCCCCACGACAATGCCACTTCTAGAATATGCTTCCTGTTACTGGGGGGAGCATGCCAGAAGGGGGATGACAGAAAATGTGAAAGCCCTTGCGTTGGAGCTTCTGGATAATTTTGATGAGCATATATCTGCTCAATTAATGTTATTTCATTATAATAGATATTGGAGCTCGGGCCCTTATTTTGATGGAATTGAGCCTATCGGATTCACAGGGCTCCACGGAGTAGCATTTCTCGGGATTGTGGAGATTGTTGCTGCTATATTGAAGATGATGAAATGGGATATTAATGCAACCGATTGCATGGGGAGTACAGCTCTCACGTGGGCAGCGGGGAGAGGGCATGAAGAGGTGGTAACGATGCTTTTGGAACGAGGAGATGTTGACCCCGACCAAGCAGACACCGAGTGTGGCCAGACGCCACTCTTGTGGGCTGCCAAGCACGGGTATGAAGGGGTAGTAAAGATGCTTTTGGAACGAGGGGATGTCAATCCTAACCATACAGACACCGGAGATGGCAAGACGCCACTCTTGTGGGCCGCCACGCACGGGCACGAGGAGGTAGTAAAGGTGCTTTTGGAACGAGGGGATGTCATTCCCGACCAGCCAGACACCTACTATGGCCAGACGCCAATCTCATGGGCCGCCGAAGGAGGACATGAGGGGGTAGTAAGGATGCTTTTAGAACGAGGGGATGTCAATCCCAACCAGGCAGACACCAAATATGGCCTGACACCGCTCTCGTGGGCCACTAGGAATAGGCATCAGGGGGTAGTAAAGATGCTTTTGGAACGGGAGGAGGTCGATCCTAACCAAGTCATCGAATATGGCCTAACGCCACTTTTGTGGGCCGCCAAGCACGGGCATGAAGGGGTAGTAATGGCGCTTTTGGAACGAGGGGATGTCAATCCCGACCAGCCAGACACCAAATATGGCCAGACGCCACTCTCATGGGCCGCTGAAAATGGAAATGAGGGGGTGGTAAAGATATTTTTGGAACGAGGGGATGTCAATCCCGACCAGCCAGACACCAACTGTGGCCGGACACCACTCCTTTGGGCCGCTATATCCGGGCATGATGGGGTGGTAAAGATGCTTTTGGAACGAGAGGATGTCGATCCTAACCGGGCAGACACCGAGTATGGCCAGACGCCACTCTCGTGGGCCGCCGAGTCCGGGAATGAGGGTGTAGTAAAGACGCTTTTACAACGGAAGGATGTCCGCACCGCCATGCCAGATAGCGAGAACCAAACTCCACTGTCCAGGGCTCTCTCTGGAGGGCATAATCGAGTCGTAAGGATGCTACTTGAACGGGATGGTGTTAATTTTGTTACAGCAGATCGCGTTGGTTAGACATGCCTCCTGGCCTCCGCTGGGTATTGGGCCAAGTGTGATAGGTACGCTATCTCGGGGAGGTAGCTTTAATATCAATACTACAGCCATGTGTGGTCAATATGCGCTCCTATTGGCAGACCCTAATAAGCGGGAACCAGTGTCGGGCCTCAAAGACTCTCATTCCAAGTCCGCAGATAGCGACCTCCCCTCAATTGAGCAGTCCATGCTGCCTCAACCCCCTCCCATGCAGCCCCTAAGCTTCTCGCACCTCTCTCAGGAAAGCTGGCACCCACCCTAGCAACACTCGATCGATTCTCTCACTCGCGGCTGATTGCCT